CCTGGAAAATAATGCTGGAGCAGGGGGGCAGGAGGCACTCCCCGGGGCCGGATCCCTCGTGCCCTCAGCCTGAACCTCCCCGAGCTGCCTGCCTCTGCCCAAGGCCATGAAGGTGCCCTTACACCAGCTCCTGCTCCTCGATCCCAAAAATGCTCTGACGCAGCCGTGCTGGGGATGGGTGCTATAATGCAGCGAAGGCAGCCTGGTCCTGGGGGCAAGGTGGTGCCACCCAGCCCAGCCCCAAAAGCTCTTTTCCCTATTCCAAACGGAATCACATAAAACAGAAAGGCAATTCCTCCTTGTAACAGTGCTGATCCCAGGGGCTGCACCTCTGTCACCGCCTTGCTGGAGCCTCAGTGCAGAATTTCATGGGGCAAGGCCTTAAAGATCATCGGGAGCATTTTGGCACTCGCCCCTTTGGTGGAGGGACCGTTCCTTCCTACCGCACAGAGCAACACTTCTGTGCCTCCAGCAGCGGTCAAAACCATCCATTATTTAAGCCTTACAAAACATTTCTGAGCAGAATTAAGGGAGATCATAAATATTTCACTCGATCTCTGCCTAACCCTCTCCACTTAAAACAAACAGAAGGGAAAGCAAACACCGTCCTCTCCTCCCATCCCAGCCACCGTCCCAAACAGCCCCAGCACCACAGCAAAGGGACCAGAGGTCCCTGGTGAGCCAGGCTGCTGCTCGTCATTAGGTTCCAGAACCAACATCCTGACCCACACGGGGGATAGGACACAGCTGTCCTGATTCCCCCATTAGAGCACAACGACCACGGGGCAGACTCTGGATGTCTTCACCCAGCCAGCCCAGCTCCCAGCACGGCAGGCGAGGCTACCTGCAGACCAAGCAAGGCTTCTCCGTTGCACTTAAGGCTCTTTCTTCCATGCCCTCAGCAAACGAAGGCTCCACGGCCATAAAGAAAAGCCGGCATCAACGCCGAGATTTGGGGTTAAGCCACGGGCTGCAGCAAACTGCGCAAGCCCCCGTGACAGCGTATTTATCTCCTCCTCCCCACGCCTCGGCTCAGATGCTGCGGCCAGGGCAGATTGCCTATTGCACACACGCGTCCAGATCCTGTGTGTTGGGCAGGAAGATTATTGAACAAAAGTAAGTGATAAAAGCACGGGCCAAAAAGATGTGTTATAGTGTTTTCCTTTGAGGCAAAGACAAAGAAGACACTTTGCTGTTTGTTGTGCCAGAGAATCATCTCTGATTGTTTGTGTCACAGTGGCAGATAAGTGCAAAGGAGATAGATGTTCTGTCTCCGAGGCACAGTTCTCATCTGTATAGTATAAATTTATGCCTGCTGGTTGCAAGCCTCATGATTCAGAGCCGGTATATGACTGCGATCGGAGCAGAGCAAAGCCAGTGCCTTCACGCTTGACGTTGATCTGCTTCATCCGTGCTGTCAGCCAGCCCCTGAGAAACGTCCCCTCTGCTTAGAGCTGGGCTCTGCCAGGCTGCTCAGCGGCTCCTGCTCCGACGCAGCCCTGCTCCCATCCCATCCCATCCCATCCCATCCCATCCCATCCCATCCCATCCCATCCCATCCCATCCCATCCCCCAAGCACGGAGCTGTTTCTCTGCCCAAACCAAGCACGTAGGGTTGGAAAGGAGGCAGGCGCCTTGGGATGCAGGCAGTGCGATGCTCTGGGAACCCACCTCCTCCTTTCCAGGCACCTGGCCACCCCGTTCACAATTTCAGAAGTCATCTGCAGAGCATCGGCTGCCCTGTCGGGATGGCAGGCGCCACGTGCAGTAGCTGTTGTTTGTTTGTGCTGTGAGTATTCACCGGGGCACTATCAAGATACAAATATAATCAAAATAATTATACTCAAACTGAGCTGAAAGAGCATCTCGGCTTCAGCATTCACCCACTCATTTGATACCTCGTTAATTAAGCACACCTTACAGCGCTCTGACGGCTGCCAAAATCAGACGTGGAGAGGTTAACGAGGCACCTTCCTAGGCAGCACCGCACAACGGCAGCCGACGCGCGTTAACGCTGTGACAATTAACAGAAATGTGCCCAGAGGTGTCTGTGGAAGAACCAGGGGGGAACCCAGCGCTCTGCTCTGCACGCACACTTTTACCATGAGTCCTTTCTAGCGGAGGGACCGGCACCCACTGCCCCAGGCAGGCTGCTCGCCCTCGCCCCTTGGGGCTGTTTGACACAAAGACGAAAGAGCATCAAGAGCATCGTGCCTCTCCGCTCCTGCCTTCCCCTCTGGAAGCACAGAGGTTGTTTGCCTGGGTCTGTACCAACCCCAATTTCCCCCAGCTGATCGCTAATTTCATGCTGCTCAGGAACAAAGCAAACATCTGGGCACATCTCCTCCCATCCCGCCGGCCGGGGACCTTGCAGGAAATGAGCTCTGCTCCGTGCCCGGCCGCTCTGCTCCCAGCCCGGGCTTCATTTCCCCTGGTGATGATCAAGGGACTTCCTATTTTTTTTGGTCTTTTGGGACCTTTGAAGGCAGGGGGATAGACGGAGCCAAAGACAAATGGGGAAGATGACTGGAGGCCCAGGGTTCCACCACAAATCACCCCCGCCAGGGAAGGTTTTATTGCAGGAGTTTCGGGGTTAGCCCAGCCCGGGAGCTGCGCAGTCAATGATTACCCGCACCGTGCCTCTCCGAAATCAGACCCCAGCTCCCCAGGGATTCCCAGGTACCATTTCCCCTGGGAGTTTAATGAGCAGCACACCTGAAAAGCCCTCCTGTGCTCCCCGTTCTGGGTCAGCAAGCGCTACCAAAGCCTTTCCGCACAGCACTGATGCCCCCGACGAGAAGAGCCACCCAGCAGCTGCCTTGCTCCAGGGCCACCGCCAGCTCCTCGGAGCAGAGGGGCCAGCTCCTGGGCCGGGCACATTGTCTTAGGAGATGGATTTTTCACCTGTAAAAGTGATCTACACTCCCTCTCCTCTCCTGGACGCCTTAGTCAAAAGAGAAAATGGATCTTTTAAAGATACATGTATCCATCACTGTTATTTACATTCTAATATGCGTACACAGCTCTGCTCCAACAAGGGAAATGTAAATCAGATGGACATCGTTCCCTGAATGCCCTAAAGAGCTCCTTTCCCCCAAATTAGAATAGAAAATGCTCTTTTAAAATGCACCTTTAATATGTAAAAGCTGCTGCATCCTGACTCTAAATAAACCAAACTTGAGCTACATGCCAAATATCTTAGATAAAGGACAGGTAAGATGGTAGTATCTGGCCAAGGAATCGGTCCTAAACAGCTATTTATATTAATGCAAAGAAGGTACAATGTTCTTCCTCTTGATATATGCTGCAGTGGGATATAGTTTTGTCCCACTAGTGAGAATAAAAACGTACAGTTCATGATAGGCAAAGTCACATGTGTGAGATAAAAAGCTCCAACTATAATATATGTCTTCACCATGTATTCTCTTCAGGATTTTCTTTAGATCTTTGGATGACAACAAGAAAACACTTACTCAAGGTTAGACACTGCTCTCCGGGCTTTTTAATAACCATTCCCCATATCCTGGGGGATTGCGTCTGCGAAATAAGGCAAACAACTTCAGCTGCTGGACTTGCAGCGAGGAGGAGGAGGAGAAGGAGCAGGAAGCCTCAGGCACGTCTTTGTTTCTGCTCTGCTTGTGGCTGCCCCATGCGCACGGGCTGTGGGACGAGCCGAGGCGGCGGTGCCACACGGGTGCTGCCCTCCTGCGTGTGCCCGAGGGGTTTGGGGATGGGGGCTGGCCTCCAGGGGCTTCACAGAACGGGGGCAGCTCCAAAACAAACCTCACAAATGCTGTCGAACTCTTAAAACAGCCACGGAAACCGCTAGCTGCGCTGCGTGGAGGAATTAGAGGGAGCCCCATGCCCACGCACCTTTTGCTGCTGCAAAAAGGGCTCGGAGGTAGGGCAGGTGCTGCACGTGGGCTAGGGCTTTGTGCCACGTAGCCGCGGGGCTGTTCTGCTCCAAGGACACGATGTGCAGGAGCTGGCCTCACCTCAATGCCCGAGCAGCAGCCACGGGGCTGCCTTTGGGTTTTTTTGTTTGCTGACCCTTCGTGCGTGCAGCTTCTCCTGCGTGCAGCAAACTCGCACGGCCCACAGGCAGGCAGAAAACGTTTTGTCTTGGAATCTGAAAATTTAGCAGGTGACATTTCTGCAGCTGCTGAGCCACCGATGGGAAACAAAGCCCATTGCAGGAATGGAGCAGGCTGCCCGCGTGCTTCTCTGCTGCCAGCACGGGTTTGGGAATGGCCACGGGGAACAGCTTGGCCCTTCTTGTCCTGGCAGCCTGCTGCAGTCCCACCTGAGTCAGGATTTCACTGAACTGAAAATTGAGCAATCTTAAAATTGATCTTAAAGAGGAGCTGGTGAGCTCCCCTCCTCTGCAGCTCAGGCATCCTTTAATCCACCTTGCTCCTAACTGTTCCCGTGTACATCACTGCAAATACTCCCCCTTTTCTCTTTTTTTGCTGACTACTGAAAAAAACCAACAACCCACTTTTATACCCTCTGTCCTGGAGCTGCAGTGTTATAATTTGCTCAGTTTGATATTCCTGCCAGCCCCAAAACAAAGCTTAATTGGGCAATGAAAGTGGCAGTGACGGCAAAGCACTGGAGGGATGCTTTTCCTTCTGGGTTGCTGCTTTTTGCTGTCCCCCTGCGCAGCAATAACACATTCTCTACGCTCACAGTCGAGGTTTGCTGCCATCCAAAAGGAAGGGGAGCACCAGGATGCTGGGGGGAGCATGGAGTCCCGAGGCCAGCTGGAAGGAGGCTGCTCCTGCCTTCAAACCCCGTGTCCCCACTGCAGGGTGGGGACAGGACAGGGGCAGCACCCGTGTCCTCTTCCCCCTGCAGTGCCCGTGAGCCACCAGCCCACCAAAGGCAACCATCTCCTGCCATCGGACGGCGTCTTCCATGTGGCACAGCCGTGCAAGCGAGCGGCACATCGCAGCGCAGCGTTCCTGCGCTCACCTAGAGGAAGAGCCAGGCTTCATCTCTCTTATTGCAGCTTCTCTTTATTCTTCTCATTAAACCCGTTTCGTAATTCCGCAGTGTTAATCGACCACGAGCGGGGAACAGTGAGTGTGGGAAGCGTGTTGGGAGCAGCTCAGCTCCTGCCACCCACCAAACCAGCACCTCAAAACCCCAAACCGTGCCAAAAACGGGCAGCCAGCTCCACGTATCCATCAGGAAACAACCCAGCTATTAGAGCACGTGTCCGGCTATTATTGCGGCGACCCGTCAGCTGTAAATGACCCAGGATATTTTGGAAGAAAAAACAATTTGCTTCCACTATTTACTTCTTTCTCCTGTTCTTGACCCCGAGATCGCACAAATGTTTTTCCGCGCCTCCGCTGTGAAAGAGACACTCTCATCAAGGAGGAGTAAATCACAATAACAGGGAAATAAACCTTCCCCTGAAATGAGCCTGCTTCATTTATTTATCCATCTCCCTGGCCTCGCGGGCGTCCCCATGCAGGCGCACGAGCGGCGGCTGCTGGCTGGGGGAGCCCGGGTGGCCAGGAGCTGCGCGGGGCAGGCGGGCACCGTTCCCCTTTAAATCCGACCCAGGTAATGAAACCGCGCCAGAAAATAGCGTGGGTGCATCTGGGAGCAGTAGAAAACAGTTAGATCTTCATAGAGCCATAAAGAAGTAAACAGTAGGCTGCTATGAAGATCTATGGGACCCCGCAGTGCCATTGTCTTCAAAAGGAATTAAAAACAAATTGCTGAGGGCCAGCACATAATTTAGAGACTCACGGCAATTTTATGACTTGCTAATGTTCCTAATTACATGCCCGTGAAAGGCTTAATTAATTGGGGGATGTAGCAAAAAGTGGAGCCTGTGTTTGTTATCATGGTTCCACTGCATTGATTTTAGTGCCTATGGAGAATTTAGGGCCTCTTTATTTGCACAAAGAAAATGCAAGTCTCTCGAAAAAATGCACATTAAGATCAACCCCTCGCTGCTATCTAATATACTTTCCTCTACTTAACCAAAGTGCTTGTAATCATATTTTGTAAATGTTGGTGCCGTTAATTGCATTGTGAGAGAAAATAGGTTCCGCTCGACTGGTCGTGGAGAATTTTATAAAGTTCTTCTCCTGCTCCGGATCCCGAGGACTCGCAGAAACTCATCCCAAGTTGCTGCGGCGGCGGGGCTGCCCCGCTGCGTGCGGCCCCTTCTTGGTGGGCAGGATCTGGCCCCGCTGAGCGCGGGGGCAGAGGCAGCGCTGAGCCCGCTGGCACAGTGACAGGGCTGGGGTGCAGGGAATGAACCCGCAGGCCCCATCCCATCTTTCCAAGACACTCCCAGTATTTCCAGCTCAAGGCTTTGCTGATTTTCTAGAGGAGAGGGCCTTGCCAGAAGTCAAATGCACCACGCTGCAGTGCCTCTTCTCGAAAATGCCCCTGGGGCCTGAGCGCAGAAGTCAGCAGTGAATGCCTTTAACCAGAAATAACTTATTTCTGGCGAGCATAAAAACATGAGACAAAAACAGTGATTCGGAGAGCACAGGAACCCCGCAGCGCCTTGGAGCACTGCTCCATTACAGCTGCTTCTCTGCAGGCTGCGCTGGAAGTTTGCACTTACCCACACCATAAAACCAGGCAGGATGAAGCAGCCGGGCCAGCCCCTTCCTGCTGGGCTCGGAGAGAAGTCAGAGCAGGACAGAGCCGGCCGGGGAGCATCTGAGGGCACCCGTTTGGGAACTGAGGATGAAGGGGAAGGGGCTGGGACTCCTTTTGACTGAGCACCACACCTGGAAGCACTTTCCTCCTTTTCCAGAGGCGTGTGTCCACGCAGGGATCGCCTCGCACGTGGCTGGCTGGGTAGATTGGTGCTGCCATGGCCGGGCACTGCTGGTGTCCGAGCTGTGTGGGTGTCCGGTGGGGTGCAGGCGAGAATCGTTTCACCGAAATTAAGGATAATTTGCTTCCAAAGCTTAAAACCAGCATTTAACCCCACTAAATCAGGAAGCTTTTTCCTTTCACCTCTCTTTGTGCTGCAAGAGCAACACAACTACCAGCCAAGCCATGGGATACCCTCGCCTCTGACCACAGCAGCACCCTGCTGGTGTCCTGCCAGGGTGCTGACCCTCAGCAAGCTGCACTCGTGCTCCTGGGAGCCCAAATGAAATGCAGGCAGCAGGCAGTGAGCTCCAGCCCTACCTTGCAGCACAGGTCAGAAAAGAGAAAAATTTGATGCAGAGGTTTTGCTTGGGACATTCAACAGTTAAATCCCCCGGGGTGCAGGGTTTGGTGATGGCCAGCAGCACCCAGGCCCTCCGTGCACTGTCCCTGCCTCGCAGCACCACTGCAACGGGGAGGGAAAAAAGGCAGAGGCAAGTTTGTCTGTTGCTCTTGAGAAAAGGAGACGTCTCTCGAAATATAGTTGGCGCTTTGACGATAAGACCTTTGACAGGAACATGAATGACATGAATACTTTGATCTCTAGTCTCAGAAGCTTCAACAGCAATTATGAGTCAAGAGGGGTGAATGTGGGCAGCAGCTACAGCAATGCCCCAGAGGGTGGTGAGGCAATAATTAGAGACAAAACCCAGAGCATCTCTGCCTGCGCCACGCACACCAACCAGGGAGGAGGTGGGCTGGGGGAAACCTCTAAAAAAAAAAAAAAAAAACCAATATGAAAAAAAACACAACCCTTCTTCTTCTGAGAGACATAAAATCGACAGGACTCGATACATTTCAAAGCAAAAATCTTCAAAGACAGGTAAAATGCTAATTCTGCTAATGTAGGTTTTTATGTATATGCTCTGAAAAGGTAAAGCAAATTAATCACCAGCTTTACCCCCTAATATATATCTGTGTTACAAATATATTACAGCATGTCAGATCTAAGGAGATCTATCTGAACAGCGGTGGTTAAAAGAGCATTTCCCTTTTCATGCTCTAATACAGTTATTTTGATCTTTCAGTCTTCATATTTTTTGTTCTCATCAAAGGGATGATGGTGCCAGAGATTAGGATGTTATTTATTTCCCTCTCGCTGTCCTACCCATGTTAATCACTCCTCGTGTCAACAGCTGCCGCGGTGGCGGCGGTGCCGGCAGCGCCCGCGCGGGGCTGCCCGTGCTGCCCACCGGCACCGGTGTCCCCCAGGGTCACCTCCAAACCCCGCCGACCTTCCAGGCTGATGGAAATGCAATGCAAATAGGGGGCAGGGAGGGGAAGGGGATGCCTGCGGAGGGGCGGCAGCGGTGCCGGCTCAGCCTTCTGCGCTCGTGGAAAGCGTCAGAAGGAAGAGATGGAAGTGCTGCAGATGTGGGACTCGCTGCGGCAGCGTGGTGCGGAAAACCCTGCTCCAAAGCACCCACAGCTTGAGGAGACCAGGAAAACGGAGAATGCAAGAGGCAGGAGGTGCAGGGCCGGGAGGTATTGGCCCAGAGGCTGCTGCCCGGCTCCAGCACATCACATCTCCCAGCGTGGCCAGCATCTTCCTGTTCCCACTGGGATGCTACAAGTCCACATTTGCTTTCTGGTGGCGTGCCCTGGCACCCTGCCCCTCTCAAAAAAAAAAAAAAAAAAAAAAAAAAAAGTTTGGGTTTGCTCTGGAAAAGCTCCTGCAGAGCCCAGGTGGGTGACAGCACCCACAGGCACAGAGTAGCGTGACCCTGGAGCTTCAGCGCATGCAGCCTGCAGCAGGTCAAGGCCTTCCCCGACACATCGACACACAAATCCAAAATCTGGTGATGACCAACCTCATGGCTGGGCTGTACCGGAGCGCCTCACCCAGCTCACAGCAGCAGCGCGCTGACAGATCCAGGGCCCAGCTCAGCACTGATGGGGGGGCTCATCCCCGGCGCTGGGCACCCCCGGACTGCGTCACTTAAAGCACAACCAGCTCAGACACAACACGAGCAGGTATTTCCAATGCATGCCAAAGGTACAACTAGTCCTAACAAACACACACATGCATGTACAGGAACACACTCAGTAGATTCTCAACGGGTCTTTAAAAATAATTAAAAAAAAAAGTTTAGCAGTGAGCGTGCCACATTCCTAACAGCTACGAATAGAACGGTTTTGTACCAGTTTGAGAGAGAGGGAAGGCAGGATGGGGACATGGGAAATTCAGCTGGTTTGCCGTGCAGACCCCAAGCACGAAACCGTCCTTGTCCTGTGCTTTGGGCACAGGTGATACCTGGGGGTTTGAGCAGAGCCCACCCGTACCCAGCCCCTTCGGCCACCTTGAGCCCTCAGGGCTTGTTCTCAGCAGCGGGCACATTTTTACCCCTACAAGTTTGCATCATCCTCCAGACAGACCTTGGCTGTAGAGTAAGAACAAGAGCTGCTGCAAGCAACTGCCAAGCCCTGAGTATCAAGACACTGCTTAAAGGACCACGCGAGACCCCAGGCCAAGTCAGAGAGCTGCTTACTGCCTTTGCAACTAGCTGGAGTGGGGCGATGATGAACCTGTGAGGATGGTGATATGCAGGTGGCCAATAATTATTTGCAGAGACTAACGGAGCAGGTGGACTTTGGGCATAACTAATCCTTGAGAGACAAGGAGCAGGAAAAGGCTGCAGGAGCTGATGTCTTTGAAATAGGTTACACCAGTGACATTGCCCACCATCAGCATTGTGTTCCTTGCCTTTAAAATGCTGACACTTACAGGTTTGATGGTAACTAGACTGTATAGGGGCACCTTTGCTTTCACATCAGATCTGCTGACATGAACAAGAGTCGATTCAGATGGGCATCCAAACATTAAAGTCCTTGCCTATTTCCATAAAATGATTGGCAGCATGCCTACTGCTAGCGGCTGGTAGCACTGCTGATAAATGGCATCTTGATAAAAACTTTGGCCTGTTTTAAGGGGGAAAAAAAAAAGCATGCTCTTATTCTAATTCACTCAGCTTCTGACAAATGAGACATCTCGCCTCTAAAAATTAGATCCACCTCGCATCTTTGCTCTGCATGCAGAGAAAACAGTGTCAGGAGGGTAAAGATGATGCCTAGGAGAAGAGAAGGGGGTTTCCTTTCCAGGTCTTGAACTACTGAAACTTTGCAAGGAGCCCTGTAGGTACGATCTGGCTGGAGGAGCTGAAATACCAGGTCGCTTCTGAGATGCAGGGACCTGACCCATGGAAGTGGTTTCCTCCTGCAACTGAAACGCTAACAAATGCACGATTCTCAGAAAGAAAAAAGGGACTGCACAGTTCACTTGCTGCCAATTCCCAGCTAATCCATCAGTAGGATCGATGCATGGAAAAGAGGAGAAATAAAAGCTAATTTCAAACCCTCATAATATTATTATTCAGTTTTTGTAGCTTTAAGCGCTTAATTCTAGGTATTTTTCTTAAGGTTTAAAAAATGGCTTCTAAAATGAACCTGAATGTTATAATAGGAGCTTTTTACCCCAGAGATCGAACCTCTCTCTTATACCTTCGCATTTCAAATCGCACAAAAATCACAGGAGTTGGGTGTCCCTGCTGGGCTCCCTGGCAATGTGGACACTGAGAACACCGTGGACCCGGACTGCACCTGAAAATAGATGCAGGGCAGTTGACACCACCTCTACCCATTTATTATTTGTTCTTTTAAACAGATGTTGTGTCGTCCTGTGGTGTAGAAAGAGAACGAGGCTATGTGCCCTTCTGCTCAGCAGCCAGGGAACAGCGAGGCAATGCCAGAGCCACAACATTTTGTGACCTTCGCAGGAGACCCACGAGGACACAGCTTGGAGCAAGAGCTCGATAGACACTGAGAGGGAATGCTCAAGGTTTCTGGAGGAGATCCTGTTCCCCTGGACCTAAAAGGAGTTTGCTGTTAAAATTCCTTAAACAGCTTTGAAAATCTCAACAACAGCAGATAGAGACTGACAGCACCTGACGGACCTCCCTCTGCCTCCACAACACCACCGACTTCATTTTCTCACGTAAAAGCCACCCGATTACCTCTTGATGCACCAAACAGTAACAGAGAGGGGTCCACGAGCTCTCACTACAGGTGTGACGGTGACAGCCGAGGACAAGGACAATCCAGGGGTGTGCAGCAAAGCCTCAGAGGACCCCAGCTTACTGCTGCTGCTGGGAACGACCTGCGCACACGCAGACCCTAAGGATCCGGCAGCAGAGCTCACCTAAAGCAGCCCGTGATTTACTGAGCCACTGCCCTCCCCTTCTCCTTCCTGCCGCAGCACTGCTCCAGATGTGCTGCCAGCTGTGGTGACACCACTGCTGAGACAACTAATAAATCCCACCGCAACGAGGTGGCTGTCCTCGTGGGCGAGCAGCCTCCCAGCCTGCCCTGGCACCCAACAAACCGAGCTCCTGCAGGCTCTCACGCCTGGTGTTGCCCACACGGGCAGAGCTCAGACACAGGATGATGCTGAGCACCCAGACAGAGCACAGCAGAGCACCGAGTGGCCACAGGACGCATGGACGTGGTCTCCCTCCACTTGCTACGTGCCTGCTTGGCACTGCTGGGGGATCCTGAGCAAGCTCTGGTGTCCCAGCGCTGGTTTGTCCACGAGCAGCACCGTACCAAACGCAATTAGCAGCGGTGACATCCTTACCTTGATCCCCGTCATGGTCTGCTGGAAGTCGCTTTGAGAGCGGGGGCTTCGAACCGGCTCCACCATCACGCGATCTGACATCGCCGGGAATTTACTGCGGAAACAAAAAAAAAAAACCCACAAGTGTGAAATGTGGCTGTCGATAAAGTAATCCTCAGCAATCAGACAAAATTAATTGTGTGAACATCATTGATCAAACCTACTTAATACATTGGGTTTGTAGAAAGCTGGAATGTAATTTCATTACCAATCTGCTCCATCCTAATGAAATTTCTAATAACACTCTAATTTTGATTTCGGTTAAGGAGAGAATGATGGAAATTTTCTTTTGCTTCTCTTGTAAGGCTTTATTTTATTGGTTTTCTGCAATACTAGGGACACTAATTTTTTTTTTAATTTGACATTTTATTAGCAGGGGGTTTAATATAGCAACATGGATAAAAAACAAAATTGCAAAACAGACAAACCTTAAAGAAATAGAATTGATGTCAAAATTAGAGAGGCTAATTTTAAAGAAATTGATTTATTTTATGAGTGGTGATTTTTTTTTAAAGTTGTAGCTGGTTTTCTGACCTCAAGTGATTTACATAATACTATTTTGCCATTCCTTTTGTCCGTAGTTCCCACAGAACAATGCTAGCAGAGCCCAGCCACACGGGAGAGGCACTATCGAGGCTATGCCTGGTCATAGGTAGAGTAGGGCAAGAAGAGCCAGCCCTACCCAGGCAAGATTCCCATTAATTGGGACATCACCAAGATTTCACCCCTTGCGTTAAGCTTCAAAAGGTGCCATTCAGCCCTTCAGACTCGGTTCTGTTGGTGCACAGAGGAATGCTGGAGGTTAATTAAAGCAGGAGTGGCGGAGCACCAGGTAGCTAGCTACATGCTGGTGCTGAGGGGGCATCCAGTGCTCATGAAGCCTGCAGGCTTCTGCAAGGCACATTTCACTGAGGGCAGAGGAAAAGACCCAAAAAACTAATATTTCTTTGCTCTTTCTGCTATCAGGCACTGAAAATGAACAGTGCTTGTCTCTGGCATGCATGAGAGGGCAAACCCTGCTCCCAGAGCAGCTGGGTACTACTGATGGCTCGTCTGGCAACACGTCCAGTGAACAGAAACCGCCTCTCCCCGGCCACAAGGCACGCGGTGGGATCTGCATCTCAAAGCAGAGCTGCACAGGATGCACACCGGCAGCCCGCAGACGTTTGGGGGCCTCTGGGTGATGGGACAGGACGCGCCGAGCAGACAAGGGAGCAGAGAGCGTGCCTGCTTGCTGCTGGAAGGTGATGCTCTTTGACTACTGAACTGGTGCCTATCTCTGGTATTTCCATTTTCAGCAATCTGATGTGTTTTGGTGATTTATTCATGACTGGTGTAGTGAAAAATTGGAAAAGGCTAGCAGGATAGCCATGGCCTGGAGATCCAGCATCAGATTGAGGCTACAACTGAATTACTGTCAGAGGCATCATGCAAGGTTTACTCCAGCGAATGCGGAGTTGAATCTTATATTAATAACTGAACATGAACTATCAGAGACAGACTGGCACGTCTGCTGCTGGGCAGGTCCGGAAAGGAGCTGTCAGATCAACACCGAGCCTGAGCAGACAAACAGGAGCTCAGCGCCCTCTCCGTACGCTCCAGAGGTGCCGTGCAGAGCGGCCGGTACTGATGCAGGACCACAGGAAGACCACTGCAGGCACTGCTAAACACCGAAAAAACACAGGGGAGTCTTGGCTTTTGCTCCGTTAGTGAAGCTCACATTAAAATTCAGCTCTTTGTTTGGCTATGCTGCTAAAACGCGGCAGATGAGCACAGAGGATACATGCTGATATTGCACCTAAGTCCCAGTCCGACAAGAAATGTCATTTTCAAAGTGTCCGTCCCTGAGAACCACAGCATCAGGAGATGCCTTCAACCCAAAGGAACCAGGGAGCCCACACAACCAGCACATGCTCTGCTGAAGGAGTCGGTTTATCCCAAAAGTGGAAGACAAACGTCCCATTTGGTGCTTACTGCTGCCACATGAGCCCTGGGGCCATCCCCATGCCCCGGCTTAAAATGGAGGTGCAGAAATGGCCCTGTCCACAGGGTACCCCTCCAGCCCCGACCTTTTGGGAGAGCAAAACAAAGCAGCAACTAATCCAAAGGGGGTATAAGAAAAAAACAAAACAACAACAACAACAAAAAAACACAAGGCGGAGGCAGAGGGGGGACGCTAAACGCCGCGTTACAGTAGCATCTAGCAGTTCTTCATAATTACAGTTTCAATTCTACATCCAGCTTCCTTCCTAATTACTGCCCTGCGGTTGGTGTGCACAGATTCAGGAGCAGCAGGGATTTTTATTTTGCTCGCACTGGTGACGAGCCGTCTCCTCATTACCGAGTGCTCGCGTTGGGCCCATCAGACAGCCCCCAGCGCCCTGGCCCTGCACACACCACCACATCAGCCCTTTTTGGGGCCAAAGCCATGGCCAGAGGACACGAGGATGGATGGTGTCCAGCTCCTGGACACGTAGGACAGGGGTTTCCCCATCCCTCCTTGCCCTGCATTGCCATTGTGGGGCTGTCTCCTGGATTTCCCGACCCCACATCTCAGCAGCAGACCCAAGCTTTCAGACCTGGATGCTAAGGGCTGAATGAGGTTGTGAGGTCTCAGTGCTCAGCATCGTGTCCACCTGGCCAGAAACGGGGCATCCCCATTTTGTTCTGGGGTGACATTCCTACCTCTGCCTTCTCTGAAGCCCAGGGGCGCTTTGCTAATTATTAACACCACCTCTGTCCGTGGCAAGAAGCCGAAAAGGAGCCTGCTTTCACCAGGAGCACGGGAGAGCCCAGTTCCTAATAATTTATGGCTCAAACAAAGTTGCAGAGCACAACCAAGTATGCGGGAAAGGTTGGGGTGAAAAATTATTTACAAAGCAAATGCCCTGAAGACACTTGTACTGGACAACAATTACGGCACCTTAATTAACTGAAATTTAGTTCACCCGTCGACTGAGGCATGTCCAGCACTAAAGTTATGCCACTGCTGCTGTCTACCACTGGTTAATGAATATAAATCAGATGGTTTATAGTTAGTGAACATGTAATAGGCTTGCAATGAGTTGAATTCCAATGCAAAATGCCTGGGGATAGGAACATGCCATCCATAAAATATAAATAAATAACAGATTTACATTGCTGCTCAGAAAAAAACAAAGCTGTCCTCATAGCTCGGTGTTCTTCCAGCCTGACAGACCAACAAGACAAGGGGTCAGCGGGTAGGAATTTGGAAGTTTGTTGACCCGAGGTGCAGTCAATAGATGCCAGGGCCCCTCCATGGCCTCCTTCCAGCCGCTGGGCCCTGTCTCACAGGTCCCTCACAGACCCTCTCAGCTCCCCGGGGAGGCCGAGCCGTGGGGCAGGAGCAGGCTGAAGGTGACTCCTGAAGGTGTGGAGCAGTCATTGCAGCTACCACAGCCTGCTCCAGGGGGCCCTGAAGCCGGCAGGGCGAGGAGTGCGGCCTGTGGTGGGCTCATGGCAAGGCCCAGTGAGGGACATGGCTGTGCTCTCACTACAGCTCCTTCTGGGCCAATCTTTAGTGAGATCACAAGGAAAAAGCCAACTGCTAAGGCAATTTCTGAGGTAATTCTGGAGCAGGCAGCCTGGCCCCGAGCCCTTGTAGCTGGATTCAGGGCTAGGCCCCGCCTGGGCATTGCCCTGGTGTCTGACAGCAGCCTGGGCAGGGGGGAGCACCCAGGTATTTGGGGTGCACCCCTAGGGACCCCTCAGCCCTCCTGAGGCGAATAAAGCTCCCTGAGAAATGAATGGCCATCAGGAAGAAACCCCGTGTCAGAAAAACCTGGCCTCGGCTCTTTCCATTCCCTTGCCACAGAAGCAAGAAATTGTGGACCTTATTTATTGCGCAAATTAGGTACAAGAAAATTATTTTCTTAATGTGAGACTTGATGAATGTTCTCAACTCTCCACCCTGCTAGGAAGAAGGGGTTACAATGAAAATTATTTACAAAGCATGTGCTACCCTGCAGGGATATTTATTCAGGCAGGGGATGTTTCTGCAGATTTTGTTGACAAAGGCAAATCAAATTACATTTTTGCGAACATTACACCGAGCATCTTGATTTGATATGGACATCAGCCGCCTCCTGACAAAGCCTGGGAAGCAGCCCCAGCCCAGCACCCTTCAGGCACCTACCGGGGCGGTCATTTTTAGTCTTAGAGAACAGATGGGAAAACGCTCTGCAAGCTGTTCGGGCACTTCTAGATATTGACTCAGAGTTTTTATTCCTTTAAAAAGTATAAAAATGGTTGTAAATCTGACGTCCAGATTAAAGAAGGTGGACGGCTGCAGGGATACAATCAGACCCCAAAAGCCCCCAGTCGGGCTCTGTGGAGCCCCCTGGCCTGCTGCAGGTGTTTGTGAGTGACCTGGGACCCATGAGTGTTCCTTGCACCAGGAGGAAGCGGCTCTGAGCTCCTCGCTAACAGGAAAAATCACCTCCACATCACTGATCCCCTCTGATTAAACCTGTGGGTCTTAAACTTGGTCTTCAATCAGGTCTTTGAGAAGCCCCAACAGATTACAACATCCCTGTGCTTAGCCATCATAATGACTTGCGCGTGATTAGCTTAACCAGCATTTCACCCAATTCAATTTCCACGGATGGCCTATACGTACCACAAAAGACGTTCAACATTAATTTTTACATAATTAAATCAGGAATGACCCCAGCACTGAAGAAATAAAACCTCAATTCTTCCCGGACTGTACAGCGACAGGGCTGGGGGGGCACAGCCCCATTATGTCCCCTCCTCCTGCAGCCCCTTCACCCCTGGCCCTGCATGGCCACAGCACTGCCCTGGTGCAGGGATGCCCATGTTCCTCACTGGGCTGCTGGGTGTCCCCCTCCTGCAGGACAGATGGCCATCTGTGGTCCTAGGGCCAGGCTGCAAGGGCCAGCCTCAGGCAGCTCTCGCCCAGTGATAGGCACTGAAAACACAGTTTCTGCCCCAAAATGCTGCAAGCTGTGCATGTTATGGGGGTACAGAAAGCCCCCTGGAGCTCAGCAGGCTACTCAGGCAATTACAAGTGTG